TTATGAGATCTTCTCTTGATAATGCTTTTTCTTCACATCCAAGTCATCTTTTCAGGTTTTCAGCTTAGATAAGTCATTATTTTTCTTTTTTTTAAGTAAAATATTTCTTTACAGCATCTAAATTTATTGGAGTAAGTAAATCACTGTCGTAACGATTTTGAGACCGCCAGACGTAAAAATGATGTTTTAAAATCGGGGAAAATAAATAAAAAGAGGAGTCGCCACCAATCTTTGTTAGGGTGTGATTGGCCACCCAAAAGTTTATCTTTTTAATAAAACTATAAAAACAAGTTTAAAGTTTATCAAAAAGATAAATTTCGGTCTACGAAAAATCAGGTTGGGTCCGGGAGTCGGTTACGCTTGGGGAAGGATTAGCACCTCCACAACGCCCATAAATTGGTACCATTTAATTATGCATTATTTTTGACGTTGGATAAAAATAGTTTTAATTTGAAATTTAACATTAATTCTCTTCATTAAAAAAAAATATTTTTTGCTAAAATTTTTATTTAGAAATATTGAGAAAATCTTTAAGTTAAAGAATTATCTTGAAATTCTCCAACATCTAGGCAGAATTTGAAATAACTCTTTTCGCTTAAGATTTAACACAACAATTCTTAAAATGAAATAACACTCTTTATAGAAAATAATTGTTAGTAACTCTCCAACATCTAGGCAGAGCACCAAGAATTATTTCTTTCGGAATGTTATTCTTATTTTATTTTATAACATCACAAAAAAAAATTAGTATTATTTTTTTTTATTGTAAAATATTTTATCATTAAGTAGTAAATAAAAAATTAAAGACAGAATAGTACAAATAAATGCTGATAATAACGTGCTAACGTATGTATGCCAATAAATGTTATGTAACATGAAATGCAATTTAAGAGTTGGATTCTTAAGTATAATGAGACCACCTCGACTCTCCAACATCTAGGCAGAGCTTAGGTGCGACTGTTTATATTTAAGATCCCAATTTTATTATACTTTCTATTTTTTAATTTTATTATTAATAAATTTAGAACACAGTGTGAAAAACTTAATGAAATGGAGTTTCCTAAATACCCCATCATTTAGGCAGTATTCGGGAACAAACCATCTCATGTGAGACCTTCCACAAGTGTTCTTAAAGTTTTGAAATAAATTAAGGGTAAAATTTTAGGGTTTAAGTTTAGGGTTTGAGGTTTAATTAAAACATGAACATCTCTAAAAATCTCCATCATCTAGGCAGACTTTCAGAGCAAGTTCAAAATTTTTATAATTTTGGAAAACTAGTTAAAATTTTCTTATATACATTTTTTATGAAAATTTAAATAATAATTTCCCAACATCTAGGCGAAATTATTTGTTTGAAGATGTATTTTTTTTATTCCCTCCAACATCTAGGCAGGGAAAATAAAAGCTTATTTCATTATTATTACTATTTAAACATTTTTAAAATATATTATTTTTTCTTTTATATTGTTTTCATTTTTATTATTATTAATAACAATTAAATATTTATCATAATAAATTTAAACATTTATGCATAAAAAAAAACTTAAAATAACAAAGATAATATTATATAAAAAGAATAGAAAATTCAAAAAAAAATTTTTTTTTACCTGAACCGGACCGGTCAATGGTCCGGTCAACGACGGTTCGACGGTTCGATTCAGTCTGGGAGCGGTTTGGTTGGTTCAGCGGTTCAGGCCGGTCCAGAGAGCGGTTCGGTTCGGTCTGGTCAAATCGGTTCAGAGCCGTTGAGAAGTCGGGTTAACGGGTCAGTTGCGCGGACCCCGGGTCGGGTTCGGGTCAACGCGCGGATCCTCTTTGGTTTAAACGATGTCGTTTTGGGGCGTTTATTGAAACGACGTCGTTTTGGCTATTGACTGTTTATATAAAAGTTAAAATTTTTTCTTTCCCTCATTCTTTCACTCTTCAGAAAAAAAAAACCTTCTTTTCTCTCTCATTTTTTTTCTCTTTTCAGACCAAACGCAGATGGCCGGTCGGCCGTTCCTCCGCCGCTGCCGCCGCTATTCGCCGGTAATCGGCCGTCGTTGACGGTTGTCGAAAAATTCTCAAAAATACCAAAACGTTCCCCTCGACCTCTTGAGTTCAGATCTGAGGTCCCTTTCACCAAAAAGCGTCCCCACTTCCCTAGATCTGCTAGTGAAGTTTCGGTTAGATCCTTTTTTCTTTTGTATTCTGGCTTTATTTATTTTTTTTGAACTGACTTTGATTTTTCTTTGTGCAGGGGCTCTCGGCGCTGGGTTCCTCCTTGCGGGGAGTACTGTTTGATTTTTTTTTTCTTTCCCTTTTTTTTTGACAGAATCTCCCTCTCCTTTTTTTCCTTTTTTTTCAACGTCTTCACTAGGAGCTCTATTTATAGAGCTCTAGCCATACGCGTTCGGAGGGAAAGGCATGGGCTCGGTCACGGGATGTAAACACGAGCCCCGTGCCTCTTTTATTCAATTTTGTTTTATTTGACGTTTGTCAAGTGAAGAAGTAATTAAGTGTGGAAGGTAGGGTCTGGCGGTAGTGGTGCCGGGGACGGCACCACTGCCATCCTTAATTTTTTTGTCTTTTATTTTTTTTGGGTATTTTTCATTTTTTTTGTTTTTGTATTTTGTATTATTTTTGGTATTTTTTTATTTCGTATTTTGTAATATTATTATTATTATTTTTTATTTTATTCTGGGACAAAAATTGATGTCTACAGCTGCCCCTCTTTGCACATTACTGATAATCAATAATAGAGCAAAGACAAAGACAACAATTTTGTCCAGAATCCAAACAGATTTTTTTTTGGTTCCTTTTTTTTTAGCTCAAGTCAAGTGATAAAGAAAATGACATTGTGTGTTGACAAACAAAGAATCGATTAAGGGAACACCAAAAGTCGAATAATAAAGAAAGTGATCGGGACGACACTACGAGTCAAGAAATAACAAGATCAGAATTGAACTTGGATTGAATCACAAGTCAAAAATGAGGAGACTGGGATTAAACCACGAGTCAGAAGATAACAACAACAATCGAGATTTATGATTTTAAATTAAAGAGATCGGGATTGAATCGCGAATCGAAGAATAAGAAGATCAGGATTAAACCACGAATCAAATATTAATGATGACTGGGATTGAACCGCAAGTCGAGGGAATTAATGAAATGGTCGAGATTAAACCACGAGCCAAAGATTAAAGATGACTGGAACTAAACCGCAAGTCAGAGAATGAAATGACTAAGATTAAACCACGAGTCAAAGATTAAAGATGACTGAGATTGAGCCACAAGTCAGAGAATTAATGAAATGACAGGGATTAAACCATGAGTCAAAGATTAAAGATGACTGAGATTGAACCGTAAGTCAAAAAAGTAATGAAATGATCGGGATTAAACCGCGAGTCAAAGATTAAAGATGACTGGGATTGAACCGTAAGTTAAAAAATTAATGAAATGATCGGGATTAAACCGCGAGTCAAAGATTAAAGATGACTGAGATTGAGCCGTAAGTCAGAGAATGAAATGATCGGGATTAAACCGCGAGTCAAAGATTAAAGATGATTGGGATTGAACCGCAAGTCAGAGAATGAAATGATCGGGATTAAACCGCGAGTCAAAGATTAAAGATGACTGGGATTGAATCGCAAGTCAAAAAATTAATGAAATGATCGAGATTAAACCGCGAGTTAAAGATTAAAGATGACTTGGATTGAACCGCAAGTCAAAAAATTAATGAAATGATCGGGATTAAACCGCGAGTCAAAGATTAAAGATGACTGGGATTGAACCGCAAGTCAAAAAATTAATGAAATGATCGGGATTAACCGCGAGCCAAAGATTAGAGATGATTGGGATTGAACCGCAAGTCAAAAAATGAAATGATCGGGATTAAACCGTGAGTCAAAGATTAAAGATGACTGGGATTGAACCGCAAGTCAAAAAATTATATAAGACTGAGCTGTGAGTTGAGGAATAGGAGATTAGGTACTTCATAGACCAACAATTTTGATTTTAAAAATTGTGCTAACATACCATCTTCAAGGCCATTATCTTTGTTTCGAGAAAGAACAATGCTGATTCTTCCTGATATCTCATAAAGAAACCCTCTATGCAACTTATCGAGAGGCATGTAATACGTGCAATGATTATGATGAATGAAAAGACAAAAATGCCATTAACAAATTATATCATGCATTTCATCCAAGTTAATTCAACTTTTGGTTCAATTCTTTCAAACTTTAAAAGTCGCTTCCCGTAATCTCGTCCTTTTGACTCTTTCAATTTTTGACTAGAAATCTCTGTCTCATGACGAACCAATCTAGCTTTTAATTGCTCTAAAATCTCTTTTTTTTTTTTGTAATCAATCGATTTCCTTTCATTCTTTTTTTTTGCCCCCATATTACTATTTTTTTTCATCCTCATATTGCATTCTCTTTTCGAGCGATGCGTTGGTCTATTATGAACTTTATCAATCAATATCTTAATTTTTAATGACAAATGCAATGATTTCAGGTTCAAAGTTAGGTGTGCAATATGATCAGTAATAGGATATTTCAAGTTTAGAAAGATAAGCTTTTCGAGACATAAAGAGCAGTTGATTCAAAACTATTTCAAAAATCAAATATCAATTCTCTAAATAATGAACATTTGGACGACTTCGACCTACTCGGACCAGATTTTTCTCCAAAAATTCGTTACATTTGTGATCTTGTTACTTGTGAATTCATATGACCAATCTTTGCCCCATATCTGTGACTAATGAGAACTTGCCCCCTAAAATCACATCTTTTAATTCCGGTGACAATTCGTCTATTCGGTGCCACTTCTTTGTTCTCTGAAAAAAACTTTCTCCAAGTTTCATCTTCATTCAAGCCGTCTGCATAGGTTTTTAGCTTAAATGACCCTCTTTTTGACTCAAACCGCCCTTTTCGGGTTTTCAATCTGAATCACTTCTTTTCTCATTTTTTTTCTTTTTTTTTTTTATTTTTTGATTTTTGATTTTTTTGCTTTTTTTTTTAAGCAAAATATTTCTTGACAATGTCTGAATTTACAGGACTTGGCAATTCATCTCCGTCCATTTCTGTAAGGATCAGAGCTCCACCAGAAAAAGCCTTTTTTTATCACATATGGACCTTCCCAGTTGGGCGTCCATTTTCCTCTATTGTCATGCTGATATGGTAAAATCTTTTTCAACACCAATTCGCCCTCACGAAAGCATCGAGGTCGTATCTTTTTGTCATGTGCTCGTATAATTCTTCTTTGATACATTTGTCCATAACTGAGTGCTGAGAGCCTTTTCTCTTCAATAAGATTCAGCTGCTCAAAACGATCTTGAACCCATTCTGCCTCATCCAATTTTGTCTCCATCAACACCCTCAGAGAAGGGATTTCTACTTCAATTGGCAGTACAGCTTCCATCCCATATACTAGTGAAAATGGGGTGGCCCCGGTGGAGGTTCGGATTGATGTTCTATAGGCAAGCAGAGCAAAAGGTAACTTTTCATGCCAATCCTTATATGTGTCGGTCATTTTCCCTAATATTCTCTTGACGTTCTTATTCGCAGCTTCCACTGCACCATTCATTTTTGGATGATATGGTGCTGAATGATGATGCTTAATCTTAAACTGTGCACATAATTCTTTCATCATTTTATTGTTTAAATTGCTAGCATTATCTGAGATAATCCTTTTCGGGAGACCATATCGACATATTATCTCTCTTTTTATAAATCTACACACTACTGATCGCGTAATACTAGTATACGAAGCTGCTTCCACCCATTTTGTAAAATAATCGATTGCCACAAAGATAAATCGATGTCCATTTGAAGCTTTAGGGGTTATGGGTCCGATCACATCCATTCCCCACATGGAGAAAGGCCATGGTGGTGCCAAGACGTGCAACATGACTAGAGGGGAATGAATTTTATCTGCATAAATTTGACATTTGTGGCACTTTCTAGCATAACCGATGCAATCATTTTCCATTATAGACCAGTAATAACCAGCTCTCATGATCTGTTTGGCCATCATATGCCCATTAGCATGTGTTCCACAAATCCCTTCGTGTACTTCTTCAAGTATCATTCTTGCTTCCACTGCATCGATGCACCTTAGCAAAATCTGATCTCGACTTTTTTTATACAGGATTTCTCCATCAAGCACAAAACCTGCTGCTAATCTTCTAATGATCCTCTTATCATTTTCTGAAGCCTGCTCTGGGTAGCTTTGACGCTTGATATACTGTACAATGTCATAGTACCATGGTTGTCGATCCACCTCTTCTTCCATATTTGAACAGTGAGCTGGTGAAACTTTCATTTGTACTCTAATAGGTTGGATTCCCACACCATTATTTAACTTAAACATCGCTGCCAAAGTGGCCAAGGCATCAGCAATCTGGTTTTCTTCTCGAGGAACATGTTGAAATTGAATCTTTTGAAAATGTTTCCTCAGGCCAGCTATGTGCTTTTGGTATAACACTAGTTTTGAGTCTCTGGTCTCCCATTCACCTTTTAGTTGATAAATTACCAAGGTAGAATCTCCATATGCTTCTAGTGTTTCAATTTTCTTTTCAATGGCCATCTGTAACCCCATGACACATGCCTCATACTCAGCGACATTGTTTGTGCAATTGAAATCTAACCTTGCGGTACATGGGTAATAATTTCCTTCTGGGGATATTAGCACTGCTCCAATGCCATGCCTCATTATATGGATGCCCCGTCAAAAAACATTTTTCATACCTCTCTTACAGGCTCTTTATCTTCATTTTGCAAGATTGCCATCAAATCTTCATCTGAAAAGTCAAACTTCATAGGTTCATAATCTTCTGTAGTTCGATCAACAAGAAAATCAACAATTGCACTCCCTTTTATGGATTTTTGTGTCACGTACACAATATCATATTCTGAGAGCATGACCTACCATCTCGCTAACCTGCCTGACAAAGATGGTTTTTCAAAAATGTACTTGAGAGGATCCAATTTTGATATTAGCCACGTTGTATGGTAGAGCATGTATTGTCTAAGTCTACGAGTAGTCCAAGCTAAGGCACAACATATTTTTTCTATTTGGGGGTACTTGGTCTCGTACTCTGTAAACTTTTTACTCAAATAGTATATAGCATGCTCTTTCTTGCCAGTTTCATCTCTCTGCCCCAATACACATCCCATTGATTTTTCTTGAACCGTTAAATATAAAATCAACGGTCTTCCTGCAACTGGTGGAACCAACACCGGTGGGCTTATCAAATACTCTTTAATCTTTTTAAATGCATTTTGGCATTCTTCATCCCATTCACCAGGATTATTTTTACGAAGCAAACTGAAGATTGGATCACATTTCGAGGTAAGTTGGGATATAAAACGAGAAATATAATTCAACCGCCCCAAAAAGCCTCTCACCTCCTTTTGCGTGCATGGTGTTGATAATTCTTGAATGGCTCGAATCTTATCAGGGTCTACTTCTATACCTCTTTCACTGACTATAAACCTTAATAATTTTCTAGATTTAACACCAAAGGTGCATTTGGCTGGATTCAGCTTAAGTTAGTATCTTCGTAATCTTTCAAAGAGCTTTTTGAGATTAACAACATGATCTTCCTCTTCTTGAGACTTAGTTATCATGTCATCAACATATACCTCTATCTCTTTATGCATCATATCATGAAAAAGAGTGACCATCACTTTTTGATACGTGGCACCAGCATTCTTTAGCCCAAAAGGCATAACTTTATAGCAAAATATCCCTCACATTGTCACAAATGTAGTTTTCTCCATATCTTCACAAGCCATTTTGATCTGATTGTAGCCAAAGAAACCATCCATGAATGAAAAAGTGGAATGCTTAGCAGTGTTATCCACAAGGGTATCAATATGTGGCAATGGAAAATTATCATTTGGGCTAGCCTTATTTAAATCTCGATAGTCCACACACATTCTAACTTTTCCATCTTTCTTGGGAACTGGGACTATATTGGCTACCCATTCAGGGTATTTGGCTACTTCTAAGAAACCAGCATCAAATTGCTTTTTTACTTCTTCTTTTATATTCAGTAACATTTTTGGCTTCATGCGTCTCAACTTCTATTGTACTGGTCGATATTTTGGTTTTAGAGGTAGCCTATGCTCAACTACCTCTGTGCTAAGCCCGAGCATATCTTGGTAAGACCATGCAAATACATCCATGTACTCTTGCAGTAGATTCACCAACTTTTGCTTCTCAATTGGTGATAGTGAAGTACCGATCCTGACTTCTTTCTTATTATCACCATCTCTCAAATTTAATGGGTCAGTTGATTCCTGGTGGGGTTCTATAATTTTCTTCTCTTATTCCATCCATTTCAACAAATCATGAGGTAAATCATAGTCTTCTGAATCAACATCGTTATCAAGCTCACTAATGTGAGTCGAATTTTCAAAATCAAACCCGGTGTTATTGCCTTGGTCATCCATAATGTTCATTATTAGAAAACCTGAAAATGGGTATAATCACAAAGAGATATATATTGATCTTGGCAAGGGCAGAAAGAATGGTAAAAAAGAAAGAAAAATGAAAAATAGAGAACATGGTATAAGTGAAATGCATTGCATTCATCATTTTATTAAGACAATAAAAATAAGCCCACACACTTAACCTCCGCATGCTCTTGGGCAGAAGTAATTGGAATTTTCCAGTTAATAGGTTCAAGGACAACAAAACGGTACACCATTGTTCAAGTCTCCTAAAAAGGAAAAAAGATCTCTTCATCTTGATCTGTTTCTTCATCCACTTCCCACTTGAAGTCGTGAGAAAGCTTTCTCTAATCCTATTACCAGTCCTCTTTGTTTAACTTCTGTCGACTCAGGATAGATATGCCCGACTGAACGAAAGGTTTCGTACAAATAAGGGAACACCATTTTCCCATTGATCGAATTTTATCCTTTGAGGCGCGCCATTCTCTTTTCTTTTTTTTCCAGCATTACATTCTTCTTATCAGTAGCTGAAGGCTTATAGCCTAACCCCCATTTTTCTTTGTTTTCAACCAGGCATGGTGCTCTTGTGATTCCTTGTAGAGCTTTTCCTAAGCCTTGCCCAACTCGCCAACCCTTGCCAGCAGTCTGCTTGATCACCATATTGGTAGTTTTTGACAATTGAGAGATCGACATCCTTGACCCTTCTCTTATGTAAGTAGCATTTGCTACTTCAAAAGCTCTGAAAGAACATTCAATTACTTCTTCTGCTGTCTCAACGTAGGGAGTTGCTAAGGTCTTTGTTACCAACAAGTCTTCCTCACCATCCACACAGACTTGTTTTCCTTCTATGATGAATTTTACCTTCTGATGTAGTGATGAAGGTATAGCTCCGGTCGTATGAATCCAAGGTCTTCCAAGTAGACAACTATATGCTGGAGTTATGTCCATTACTTGAAATATAACGTTAAAGGTACAAGGACCAATCTGTAATGGGATCTCTATATCGCCAATTACCTCTCTTCGTGCCCCGTCAAATGCTCTTACAATCATATGGCTATTTCGCATATGAGAAGGATCCACTGGAAGCTTTGACAATGTTGTCAAAGGCATAACATTAATAGACGATCCATTATCAATCAGCACTTTAGCCATAGTGTGGGACTTACACTTGACAGTAACATGTAAGGCCTTAACACTACCACGTCCCTCCGGAGGTATTTCATCATCATTAAAGGTAATGAAATTAGGGGCTATAATATTCCCAACCATATGATCAACCTTCTCAACAGAAATGTTGTGCTCGACATAAGCTTGGTTGAGCACTTTCAACAAAGCATTCCTATGCGGCTCAGAGTTTAGTAGTAGTGACAGTAAGGAAATACGAGCTGGTAGTTTATTCAGCTGGTCAACCACACTATACTCACTGTGTTTGATGATCTTTAAAAATTCACAAGCTTCTTTTTCTGATATCGGTTTGTTAATTTGGACTTTGAAGCTTACCACCGGTTGGGAATCTTGGCTTTCCTTTGTGTCTTCTTCTTCTATCTTGTCTTTCCCTTTCCTGACCCTTTTTGACATTTCAGGAGTGTAAATTCGACCACTTCGGGTCATTCCTCCTACTCCCGCTATGTTGGCGGTATTCTCTATGCTTGGATTATTCGAGGTCATATTAGGCCCTCGTATTGCTACATCATAATCATATCGCCATGGGACTGCTTTGTTGGACTGATAAGGGAATGGACTAGGGACATGAATGGTCATTGGTGTCCTGGGAGAGAAGATAGTTTTCTCAATTAGGGGCTCTGATTTTTCATCATAGTAAACAGTGAGGGGTTTAGGGATAAAAGACTTGCTAGGACGCTCGTCACCCATTGTATTCACACTATTTTCATCATATTCATCATAGAATTCAATGATGGCCTTATCCATCAAGCTCTGCAATGTTTGCTTAAAGACCTCATAATTTTGAATCGAATGTCCAATTGTTCTCCCATGGTATTTACAAAAATGGTCTGGGTCTTCATGATTGCCATTGTCATCCGAAAATAGTGGTTGAATCATGGTCGTCTCATACAAACAGTCATACATCCTTTCAAAAGGGGTCCTCACTTCATCTGTGCATCTTTTGATCTTTTCACATTTTTCCTTACCCACCATATTGATTTTCCCTTCGGTGTGATCCGACAAAGGGTTTCCACTGACATTCGGCTTGAATTTAGTATCAAAAGATAAAAGCCCGTCATTTATCAAACCTTGCACCTTGTGTTTAAATGCCGTGCAATTTTCAGTAGAGTGTCCTGTAACTCCATAATGATAATCGCACTTGGCGTTAGGGTCATACCAACTTGGGTAAGGTGGTCTCAACGGTTTTGCATAAGTAGGAGCGACAAGGTGGCCTTTCATTAACTGAGGGTACAAATCAGTGTAAGACATGGGAATTGGGTCAAAATGAGGTCTTTTTCGATTATTATTTTGTGAGTTTCTTTGATTGCTGTTTGGATAGGTCGGTCGGGTAAACGGTCGAGCTGGAGGTACAGAGGTGTAATTGGATGATTGAGGACTAAAACTTGGTCTGGGTAACGGTTGTTGGGGTGCTTCGATAATGGTATGGTTGTTGAGAAACTTGGTTTGTGGCAGGGTAGTAAGGGGGATATGGATTATATGGGATAAAAGGATAGTGTGGGGGATTTCTGTGAGTGACAGCATGTGTTTCCTGCTCTTTCTTCTTTACAGTTACTGTCTTCTTTTCAGACCCTTCAATTTTACCACTTTTGATAGCGTTCTCTATCATCTCTCCTGAGATTACCATGTCAGAAAAGTTTTTCGTGGCATTTCCCACCAATCTATCATAATACGGGGCCTTCAGTGTATTGACAAATAGCACGGTTATCTCTTTTTCTATCAGTGGTGGTTGAACTTGGGCCGCTGCATCCCTCCATCGATGTGCGTATTCCTTGAAGGTTTCCATCGATTTTTTCTCCATATTTTGCAATGATAGCCTATCAGGGGCTGTATCCAAGACATGCTTATACTGGGCAAGAAAAACTTTGGCCAAGTCTTTCCATGAATTGATCTTGCTTCGATCTAACTGCACATACCATTTAGCTGCTGAACCAGTCAAACTATCTTGAAAACAGTGTATCAATAGTTTGTCGTTATGGGTATGACCTGTCATTTTTCTAGAAAACATGGTGATATGAGCAGAAGGACACTTTGTCCCATCATATTTCTCGAAATCTAGAGTCTTAAATTTTGGTGGGATAACCAAGTCAGGCACTAGGCTGAGCTCATTGGCGTCAATAATCCCATAAATGTCATTACCTTCAACCGCTTTGAGCCTCTCTTCGAGTTGGTCATATTTATCTTGAATTTTTAAATTTATAACAGGTTCTGACATTTCGTGAGACTTCTCTTGTTCAACAGGGTCATCAAGATTTGGTACCATGATGGGATCGATTGGGATGGGTCCTGAATTGGTATTCAAGTGGGTTGATCGTTGACTTGCAGAATGATTGACATATGGGTGAGGTTGTGCACTTGGTGGTTGTATGTGTATACCCTGAGGAACTTGAATCTGAACCTGAGGCGGAGTGAATCCCGGAGGGTATAATGGCTCTTCTATATTAACCTCATCTCTTGTCCTTGACGCACCAGCGACTCTTTTCCTTTCATTGAACCAAGCAACAGTTGTCTTAATTCAGTCATTTGTGCTTCGATGCTTTGCTGTATTTCCATTACTCTTTCTCGTATTTCCTCCTGTGCCCTTTCGACCCTTTCAAATCTAGCCGTATTCTCTTCTTCCATGGCTCAAGCTTGAGAACGAGTATTATATCTATGCGAAATTGATGAATTTTGGTTCCTTGGCTTTGCTATCCTTGAACCTTAGTTTATTAACCATGAATTAGATCGCATGATATAATGTCGTTGATATTATTGTTGGTATGAAAATGAATGCATGAAATGAATGAAATGCAAATTAGGGTACTGTTTTGGATCGATCGAAACAAAAAGAAACTTTCATTAACCATGGGAGTCTTTATACATTATCCGATCATTCTTGCATTAAAGCCATAAAAACATTTGACTTGAGCATATTGCTCCCTAGCTTCATACAAAAAGTGCAATAATCTTTGACTGTGGCCTTGAGTTGGTACAATCTCCCGTTCCAATGCTTCTGCCTTTTCAACCATGTTGCTTGCGTTTCGAACAGCCTTGTAGATTTGAATAGTCAGATGCTCGATGTATTGCTGCCTCCCTAAACTTTTTGCTCTCCACATTTCTCGAGCATCTACCTCCATATTGTAAGTGCGAGCCCAATAATCTTCTCTATCTTGCCACTCAGTCAAAATCTTGTCTATGTGACTCTGATTGCTTGTCAATTGAAGTTCCAAGCTCATTAATTCATGCTCTAAGGCTCTTTTCTCACTTTGTAAATCGAAGTTCTTGCTTTGTTCCCTCTTTAGTTCAGCTTTTAGCTTTTCACTTTCTCTTTGGTGCCTTGTTACCTTTTCAGAAGCTCCTGAAAGTTTTTCTTTCCATTCATGTTGTTCTTTAGTGAGTGTGGAGATTATTTCTTTGTTCTCTCGAGCTTTGTTCTTCCAATATTCCACCATATCTCGTAGTTCCTCCACATCTTTCTTGGATCCCTTCAAAGGTCTGCTATCCAATCTTAATTTCTTATTTTCTTGATGTAAATTTTATAGATCTTCTTTCAATACTTTTCGTTCTTTAGTCAACTTCTGTACTGCATCATCTCTCATCATCAAATCATATCTCAATTGGTTGACCTGATCCATCATAACCATCTTTTCTTTCTCTAACCTTTTCTTTTCAATCTCAAATTCTCGTTGAGCGATCTCAAGAGTCGATAACACTGGTACTGAAATAGGAATTGGCAACTTCTCTGAAACATCAATTGGTAGAGGCTTAATTTCATTAACCCTTTTTATCCTCCAGGTAAGGTAACATTCTGCAACATTATCTGTAAATCTAGCTGGACTCATTCGGTTGACTTGCTTCCATGCTTTGATGATTTCACGAACCTTTTTCACGTAACCGGGTGTCCCATAATCAAACTCGAGTGAATTGAGTCCATGAGTCATAGGGATAAACTGCCGTGAGTCATATTGTCTTTGAACCATAAGGGGCGCGTAACTCACTGCCCCCTATATTCCTAACAAAGGTACCCATGACTCATCTCCACAACTATATAAGATGGCCGTCGAAAGCATCCATGGTGCCCTCCATGTTACATCCTCGCTTGTGAGCTTCAGAAAGAATGCCAACCACTGACCTTTTGTCCAATCATTCCCCCATTCTTTAGCAATAAACTCCTTGATAGGACTGAAATGTACAGAGAATGGTCGAAATGATATCTTTTCTTTCCTCCAAAAATGGCTTCTGAGCCAAACAAAAAGCAACTGAGCACACCCCATAAATCGTCTTTCACCCTTTCTTCGACAAAAATTAAGTGATCTAATAGTTTCTGCCAAAATAGTTGGTGAAGGATTTATACCTTTATCTAATTGCTCAAAGAAATCAACCACTGATGCTTCTATATGTCCTAAAACCTTAGGGAATATCATCAGCCCATAGATGGCCAAAGCAAACACATCCAACCCCTGATCAGTGTCAATATACCTTCTTATGTACTCGAGCAGAAAAGTTGATGGAATGGTCTCAACCCCGTTTTTTTCTTTCTTATGCTTGTCTATCTCTTCGACCTCCACTTGCATGATCTTGGCTAATTTTTTTCTATATCCGGTAGTCTTATGCTCTTTCCAATAGATCTTGTCTTGATTGGTAGACTCTATCCGAGTAAAAAAGAATATTCTTCGATCGTGGGGACCAAGTCTTCTTGGTTGAATACAAAGCATCGATAAGATGGATCCCAGAACTGTGTTGCGACTCTCATCAACTGTTCATCAACCTTCACTGACATAAGTAGTGCCACATCTCCGTATTTCTTGGAAAAAGATTCTTTTCTCTCTGTTCTCCACTGTTTCCAAATGGCTTCCAATTCTGATATATTATTTTGACTGAGATCCATATGCATTGACTGTGGTAGCACTGATATATGACCATCTACTAAGCAATCTCCTTCATTTCTCTGAGTATCTTCTGAATGGTTCTTGACCTCTAAGTAGCTCTTACACATGGATGACATCCTTTAGGTTTTCTGAAAGTTTTTCTTGCTAAAGATAGGTCCAAAACAATACCCTCTAGAAATATGGTACCTATATGATGCATGCAACGAAATTGAAGACAACAAAAGAATTAAACAAATCAATAATGTAAATAAAACAAATAAACAAAAATAAGTAAATGAATGAACAAGCATACGTCATAACAGAATATACATAGTGTCCTAATTTAGGTAATTTTCTCATAAAAGGGACGATATGGCTCTATCCTAAAGTTGAACCTTACGGGTCGCTATATGCCAGGTTAAGCTTTACGCGTCTAAAGGTTCTCAGACTATTCCTCACATTATTGTCCATTATAGACTAGTAAGGCTCCCCGATCCTTACCCATTACAGGTTGCTAACAGAACGGGTTCAATCTGAGTGAAAATGTTTCGCTAGCAAATGCGGAGGTTATCACCTCACGAGAGCGTAGCTACTTCATTTCCTCCTAAAAGGGATAGAGCTCGGGTTTAGAGCTCATGCATGAATATGCAAAGTGTGTGCACAATAATTTAATTAAAATAACATGAATAAATCATAACCACAAAATCAAAATAAATTAATAACTAACACACAATTTGTTTTATTTATTAACAAATATTTTTTTTTGAAAAATCAAGGTGAAGGAAATTAAAAGAAATATCAAATAAAACCAATTAAATCCAACAATTCTTAATAACGCATAATTAAAAGTTTTGGCTTGACTCTCAAAATTAATCCCCAGGGAGTCGCCAAGCTGTCGTAACGGTTTTGAGACCGCCAGACGTAAAAATGATGTTTTAAAATCGGGGAAAATAAATAAAAAGAGGAGTCGCCACCAATCTTTGTTAGGGTGTGATTGGCCACCCAAAAGTTTATCTTTTTAATAAAACTATAAAAACAAGTTTAAAGTTTATCAAAAAGATAAATTTCGGTCTACGAAAAATCAGGTTGGGTCTGGGAGTCGGTTACGCTTGGGGAAGGATTAGCACCCCCACAACGCCCATAAATTGGTACCATTTAATTATGCATTATTTTGACATTGGATAAAAATAGTTTTAATTTGAAATTTAACATTAATTCCCTTCATTAAAAAAAAATATTTTTTGCTAAAATTTTTATTTAGGAATATTGAGAAAATCTTTAAGTTAAAGAATTATCGTGAAAATTTTCAACATCTAGGCAGAATTTGAAATAACTCTTTTCGCTTAAGATTTAACACAACAATTCTTAAAATGAAATAACACTCTTTATAAAAAATAATTGTTAGTAACTCTCCAATATCTAGGCAAAGCATCAAGAATTATTTCTTTCGGAATGTTATTCTTATTTTATTTTATAACATCACAAAAAAAAAGTATTATTTATTTTTTTTATTGTAAAATATTTTATCATTAAATAGTAAATAAAAAATTAAAGACAGAATAGTACAAACAAATGCTGATAATAACGTGCTAACGTATGTATGCCAATAAATGTTATGTAACATGAAATGCAATTTAAGAGTTGGATTCTTAAATATAATGAGACCACCTTGACTCTCCAACATCTAGGCAGAGCTTAGGTGCGACTGTTTATATTTAAGATCCCAATTTTATTATACTTTCTATTTTTTAATTTTATTATTAATAAATTTAGAACATAGTGTGAAAAACTTAATGAAATGGAGTTTCCTAAATACCCCATCATTTAGGCAGTATTCGGGAACAAATCATCTCATGTGAGATTTCCACAAGTGTTCTTAAAGTTTTGAAATAAATTAAGGATAAAATTTTAAGGTTTAAGTTTAGGGTTTAAGGTTTAATTAAAACGTGAACATCTCTAAAAATCTCCATCATCTAAGCAGACTTTCAGAGCAAGTTCAAAATTTTTATAATTTTGGAAAACTAGTTAGAATTTTCTTATATACATTTTTTATGAAAATTTAAATAATAATTCCCCAACATCTAGGCGAAATTATTTGTTTGAAGATGTATTTTTTTTATTCCCTCCAACATCTAGGCAGGGAAAATAAAAGCTTATTTCATTATTATTATTACTATTTAAACATTTTTAAAATATATTATTTTTTTCTTTTATATTGTTTTCATTTTTATTATTATTATTAATAACAATTAAATATTTATCATAATAAATTTAAACATTTATGCATAAAAAAAACTTAAAATAACAAAGATAATATTATATAAAAAAATAGAAAATTCAAAAAAAAAATTTTTTTTACCTGAACCGGACCGGTCAACGGTCGGTCAACGGCGGTTCGACGGTTCGGTTCGGTCTGGGAGCGGTTTGGTTGGTTCAGCGGTTCAGGCCGGTCCAGAGAGCGGTTCGGTTCGGTCTGGTCAAACCGGTTCAGAGCCGTTGAGAAGTCGGTTAACGGGTCAGTTGCGCGGACCCCGGTCGGTTCGGGTCAACGCGCGGATCCTCCTTGGTTTAAACGACGTCGTTTTGGGG